ACCAGAGGGGACGGCTTAAACCCCCAATCACAGTAGGGGAGGGATCTCTACTCCTCCACATTTATTTACTGAGGCCCTGCACACACCGGTCAAGTTCAGTCTCTAATTGCCCAGCTCTGAGCAAGCGCCTAGACTTGGCTGTTGAGGGGCACTGGTGGGGCTGGCAGAGGCTATATACTAAGTTCTCAGATTGAGAGGTGGGCCAAGGGAAGAATGGGCACAGAGTTGGGGTGAAGAGTTGCCATGGGGACAGCAAAGGAGACAGGACATGGAGATCTATCTCTCTGTTAACAAGACTAGGAAGTGGTAGGAACTGAGGCAACAAGAGTTGGGGACAGTTTAGCAAAGACTTAGGAAGCGGGTGTCCTCAGGATGGTAAGAGAGGGAAAAGATCTACATGATGAACTAGGAAGTTAGGGGGCGAGTCTGTGAGGACAAGAAGGTACACATTAAACTTGGGGTGAGGCTGAGATCAGTTATCAAGAAGAAAGGGGTGAACTCAACAGGGTACCTACTTTGGTGGTGGTTCTACAATGAGAGGGGTCAGCGCGGAGCATTTTTTGCCAGAGGGGTTGAGAGGTGAGGATGAGGTAAGAGGAAGGTGAAGGGATGTGACGGGGTTCGCATTGCAACTGCGCTAAAGAGGGGTCACGAGTGAGGGTGCATTTACGCAAGAGCGGTGATGAGGGCATGCGGGCAAGGGCTGAGGTCGGGTTACGATGGGGAAAAATGGAGGGGACCGGCCAGCAGCAGCAGCGCCGAAGGCTAGGGCGGGAATGGAGAGAGGGCTGGGAAGGGCTGAAGACTGAGAAGCCGGAGTGCCTCAAGGCAACCAGGGATTTGGGATCGCGGCTAGGGCTAGACGTCTATCGCCCTTTCGCGTCGCGGCCCCGCCGCCCCTACGCTGCCCTCCTCGCCTGAAATCCTCCTGATCTCTGCCTCCTGAGTAGCTAGGATTATAGGCATTGTTTTTTAAGTCAGAGTCTCACTATGTAGCTCAGGCTGACCTGTCTCTGCCTCCCAAGTGCTGGGATTATAGGCGTAACCACTACATCTGACTTTCAGTGATTCTTAATCTTTTGGGGTTTCAGATTCTCTGAGGAGCAGATGGAAAGCTCTGGATTCTAAGAGCCAGGTAGACCACCCTCTGTCCATTTTGTGTTCTCTCCTTCAGAAAATGCTTATTATCCTCCAAAATCTCATCCAGCTTCAAGTAGTTCAAGCAAAAGTTCAAAATTAAGAATTCCTAAGACACACACATACACACACACACACAAAAGAATGCCGAAGAACAACAGCAATAAAAATACCTATTTGTTGTGTTCTGTCCAGGTTTTTACATATATTATACTCTTTTAGTCCTCAAAAGAACACTAAGAAATATTCTATTATTGCACCTATTTTAATCCAACTCCTTTTCAATCTAATCTAATCAAATTCTGTCAATCTAGAAAGGAAACCAAAGTCCCTCCAAAGATAAACATCTCTTTTCCCAGGGTCATAAAACAGGGGATGGGGTGGGGTGGGGGGAGAACAGAGGCCAGGCGCTGGTGGCTCACACCTGTAATCCTAGCTGAGATTGGGAAGATCTCTGTTCTAGGCCAGCCCAAGAAATTACTTTGAGAGACCACCCCCCCCAGCTCCAAAATAACCAAAGGAAAATGGACTGGATGTGTGGCCCAAGCTGTAGCATGCCTGCTTTGCAAGTATGAAGCCCTGAGTTCTAACCCCAGTCCCACCAAAAAAAAAAAAGAGAGAGAGAGCAGAGATGAGATAAGAGGCAGGCACTTGTGACTTACGCCTGTAATCCTAGCAGGAGAATATTTGCCAGCCTGGGCAAATATTTCCACGAGACCCTATCTCAAAAAACCCTTCACAAAAAAGGACTGGTGGAGTGGCTCAAGGTGTAGGCCCTGAATTCAAGCCCCAGTACAGCAAAAAAAAAAAAAAAAAAAAAAGAAGGAAAGAAAGAAATGAGATGAGAACAGGCTCTCTCAACACTCTGACATCATACTGCACACAGATCTGAAGTCACCTAGTTCATCCTCCATCCCAGGGGTCCCAAAGGCGCCCATCACTCTCCTAACTTAGCTCTCCTACTAAGAGGTACATAAGTAGTCTTCTTGCCTCTCCTGAAGGACCTTTCTAAGGTGCAACTGCCTTTTACTTTCCTGGAGCACCTGACCCTTGCTCTGCCCACCCGTCATTTCTGCCCTCTGAATCCTAACAGAGATAGGGTCCTCCCTCCCCAGGAGAAGCTGGCCTGGCTGCTTCAGCTCTGTCTCTGAGCCACTGCAGTGGGAGTTGTCGGCACTGAGAGCAATGACTCAGACTGAGTTCATGAAAGACTGCTCTGAAACACAAGCCTGCAGCCAGAAAGGACATCCAGAGGTCATGAGATCCAACCCCCTGTCTCCTCCACACTGGCCCTACAGACTTCTTTCTGATGTCCAGCCCAGATGGGTCCCCCCACTTCCACTGCCCTGGTTTTCCTTGGCTGCTGGTACCACTGGTTCCTCTGGGAATTCTTCCCTGTGATTAGTCAGAATCTGTCCATGGATAGCTGCTTCTTCATCTGCTCCCCCATGGACTGCCAGGCTCCAAATGGCCAAGGAGAGTGAGGAAAGGAAGATGTTTTCTTCTTTCTGCCTTGGCAAAAGTACTGGGATAATTGTGGGGTATGGGGGAGGTGAATATGAACAAATTACATTGTATACATATGCGAAATGTCATAATGAAACCCATTATTTTGTAGAAGAAAACAAAGTAAAAAGTATTGGAAAAGCATAAATCTCCCAGACAGAAAAAAAAAAAAAAAAAAAACTCTCCTTGTGGTCTTGCCTGGACTGAGTGCCTTACTGCGAGGTCTCCTGCGTTGTCCAACAGCGAGGGTGGGGTGGCAGACAGTGGCAGAGCCACCATCTTGCAGACAGTGAAGTCAGGTTCTAAAAGATTTTGTTGCCTTGGTGCTGCCCAATGCTACAGTTAATTAATGACTATACAGGCATTGGACCCTAAGGAACCCAAAGCCCCAGCTCTTCGGAAGAAACGGGGTACCTCTGCTAAGAAGCCTCCAAACACAGAGGAAGCCTGTTTTTTCTTGCCCAGTATACATGGAGGGCATGCTCCAAGCATCAATGCTGGAACTTCCCAGGGAGGGAAAACTGGGCTTCCTGACTGGGCAAGAGGGAGAAAGACAATCTTCAGAGGGAACAGGGTTCTTAGAAGCTGGTAGTGAGGCGGGTGCTGGTGGCTCATGCCTGTAATCCTAGCTACTCAGGAGGAGAGATCAGGAGGATTGTAGTTTGAAGCCAGCCTGGGCAAATAATTCGTGAGACTCTATCTCAAAAAAAGGCTTCACAAAAATAGGTCTGGTGGAGTGGCTCAAGGTGAAGGCCCTGAATTCAAGCCCCAGTACCACAAAAAAAAAAAAAAAAGGCTGGTAGTGAGTGGACCTTTGGTGAGACAGGTTTGAAGGCTGAACTCAGGCTTCACCCCAAGTCCTTTCAGGAAAACCAGGAGTCAGAGGGAGTGGATCTGAAGGAGGGGGAACTAAGCACCCACTACCACGAACTCTGTCATTTGCCCTTGCCCTACTTCTGCCAAATAAATCTCTATTCCTGGCCTCAGTGACCTGCTCCAATGGTGAGCTCATCCTTGAGAGGCCAGCAATCCCGAGCCGTTCAGCCCATCCTTCAGGCGTCACATAAGGCAGGACACCCCAGTGCCACCATCCACAACAGAGGAGGAGGTGGAGTTAAACTCAGAAGTCTCTCCATCCACACCCTCCTTATCTCTCTTTCCTTGTTAGTCAGGGCCAGAAGCAACAGAAAAGAAGGGACTGGAGGTGAGGGGACTTGGAGAAATGGGTCCCAGGTTATCAACAAGCGTCTTCAGACCAGCCAGGGACAGGACACTTTGGAGAGTAAGAACCTCTTCCCCTACCCTATCCTGCTCTAACTCCAGTTGTGGTTGTGGCAGGAACTTTGAGAAGGTGCATCTTAGAGAGCTTGGGAACTTTGAGTGTGAGGGTGGAGTCCATACCCCAAGACTAGAAAGAATTACGATTGCCCTGCTTTACACAAGGAAAAATTATCTAGCCTGAAATTTGGCCCATTAAAGTTGTTTCTTCTTGAGGGGCGTGGTGGTACATGCCTGTAATCCTAGCACTCTGGAAGCTAGGGCAGAGGATTGCTAGTTCCGGGCCAGCCTGAGCTATGTAGTGAACCCTTAACTCAAAAAAAAAAAAAAAAAAAAAAAAAAAAAAGGACCAGGCACCAGTGGCTCACTTCTGTAATCCTAGCAACTAGGGAGGTACAGATCAGGAGGACGGCGGTTTGAGGCCAGCGCAGGCAAATAGTTCGCGAGACACTAACCCGAAAATACCCAGCACAAGAAAAGGGCTGGCAGAGTGGCTCAAGTGGTAAAGCGCCTGCTATCAAGTATGAGGCCCTGAGTTCAAACCCCAGCAAAACCCCTATGCCATGATCCATGTATTTGAAGAGATCCTCTCCAGGGCAGAGAGGCATCAAGTTAATGGGACAGAGGGCAGGTCCCCATTCTTCCTTCACCCAGGTGCAGCATCTTCCTACTGCACTATCAGTAAGTACTAAAACTCTCATCTCATTCTCAGCTATTCTGCTACGATCGTCCCAGCCTTCCTTCAATCACGTTACGCCCCCTGCCCCCGCATCTCGGGGTTTTTGGTATAAAACTACCTCTTCCACCTCTTTACCCTCTAAGCCCCTCCCCATCTTGTCGAGCCCCCCAAAGACTCCGCCCATCAGGCCCTCCTGGCCACCGCGGCAGCCAATAGCTGAGAACCTTCATTTGCATAGCGGCGCGGGGGCACGTTGGAGGAAAGGGGGAGGGACCAGGCGACCTCCTAAATCAAAGTTGGGAGGCGAGGACTGGGCGGAGGGGCCGCCGGGTGCCGGGCTGGGGCCGGAGCGGGGAGGGGGAGGGGAATGGGGGGCGGGCGCAGAGGACGGAGGAGCCGACCCGACACGGACAGCTCCGTCGCTCCCGCCCTCGGCTCATCCCCGCATCCCCACTTCCCTCCTCCTCCCGCTGCGAGCAGCATCCTCTTCAGACCCTCGGTCCTCACGCCCGGGGTCGTCCCGCTTCCGCGGCTCCGAGTAATTGCTTTCAGCACACCTTCCACCCAGGCAACTTTCTCCACCTGCGCCCGGGGGTGGGGGGCTGCGCTGCCTGGGAGGGTTTCTCCTGGGGTTCAGTGGGGGGCAGCCTCTGGAGAAGGGCTTCTGGATCCCAGGGAGACGCCCGCCACCTGCATTCTGCTCCCAGCGGGCCTGCCGTCGGGTCTCGGCGCCCCCTATTCCCCTGTCCACCAACCATGACCGAAATGAGCGAGAAGGAGAACGAACCGGATGACGCGGCCACCCACACCCCCCCGGGGACTGTCTCTGCCCTCCAGGAAACCAAGGTAACTCGGGGGGCGTGAAGCCTGACCCCTGTCCGGGGCGCCCTGGCCTCTATGGGCTCAGGAGCCTTGGAGTCAAGGCAGCGATCGGGGCCCGCGTGATCCCTAAGACTGCGCGCCTTGACCTGGAGGGAGCAGTGGGTTCGTGACCAGGGGACTCAAGGAGCGCCCCCCCCCCCCGCACACACACACACAGGGAATCGGGAGAGGAGCGGACGCGCTCTCGCCACCTCCGGGAAGGTTGTAACTCGGCTTTGTTGGAGGGAATCGGCGCAGTGTGTGGCTGTGTGTGTAGCGGCTGTGGGTCGGTGTACGCGCGCGTGTGTGCGTGCGAGGCGCACCCCCTCCCGTGGCCGCCAGATCTCTGTCTGCAGTTCCGTCCGTCCTTCTTTCCTTAAAGCCGTGTCTCTCGGAATGGTCTCTACAACTGTCTGTCTGTCTTGGTGTCCTCTCTGTGCGTCCCTCTCGGTTTTTCTCGGCGTCTCTACAATCTTCTCTCTGAATCTCAGGGTGTCTTTCTCTGACCCACAGCAGGCTCGCATTGCCCCTCCCAGCCGCGTTAGGCTTGGGGACGATGGCCGGGGTGCGCAGCTTGCGAGTCCAGGCTGGGGGCTGCCGCAACGCGGGGCCGTCAGTCCCGGGCGGGGACCCCGAGTGTTGTCGCGGCTCGAGAGCAGCAAGAAAAGCAGCCCCACCCCCAACTCCGGGAGCGGGGTGGGGGGGGCGGGCAGAAGCAAAAGTCATCGTAATTAATGAATGTCATAATTAACCCTAATTATGTATGATTGTTATTCCTGCGGGAGTCGCAATGAATAAATTATTCCCCAGTGAAGGCAGGCGGAGCCCAGACTCAGGCGTTGAAAGGGGTGGGGGGAGACCTTCGTTCACATTCGACTCCCCCCTCCTCTAATCTGTCTGCTCCTTCCCCAAGTTCTTCCCGCAAGAAGTTCTGCCGGAAGCAACCTGAGCCTGCCTGAGGATAGGGAAAGAAGGGGCAGTGCCCCTCCCCAGACTTCAGGCCAAGACTTCCCTCTCCTCAGCCTGGTGGTGTTTTGTTCCCATTCTGCTACTGCTACCCAGGGGAGAAGGGCTATGAGGACCAAAAATGTGAGAGGTCTTGGGCTCCCTAGTACAGCCAGCTCCTCTGTAGCTCTTCCTACTGTCCCTCTTCCTCCTTACTTTTTCTTGACCACCCCTCAAAACATGAGGTTAATTCAAGGTCAAGGTCATCAAAAGCGTGACCAGGGTGAATGAGGCTAAGGTGGAGGCTAACTGAGGTGCACTAGCTAGCTCCCCCTCCTGAACAGGGAACCCATTAGGCCAAGTATCTGTGCGCACTTGACCTGCTTCCTTCTGAAAATGAGACTCTGGGCTCTCAGACCACAGAATTAAGTCCCCCTTAGAAAGCCAAGTCTGTCCTGGGAAAGGAATGAGGAGATATTGAGATGGGAGGACATTTCTTGGAATATTTGTAACAGCTTGTCAAGCAGAATCACAGGAGATGAGCCCCACCCTGAGTTCCAACACCCCTGACCTCCAAATCCACAGTCCCCCTGCTTGCTTTCCAGGGACTTGGGGCCTCCAAAGGCTTCCCACATCAAGGCCTGTCTGCTGCAGTCCCCTAGGAGCTACCCAAGGCAGGCAGGAGCAGGGGCAATGCCGCCTCAGCAATACTGCAGGCTGCAAGCTCAGCAATATGAGGAGGGGTCAGGGCCTGGCAGAGCCCTGCCTCCCTCCTCCCAGTCCAAGGACCCTCCAGTGTCACCAGCTCTGGGTCTGAACCATGGAGATTCAAGGAGCAGAGGAGAAGAGGGATCTTACACCTTACTGGACCCCTCTGTGCCAGGCCAGTTGGAGACTTGGCCTTTGCTGCCTGCCCCCCACCCCCTTCACCCTGGTGAAGTATTCAGAAATGACATAGTGACCGGGCTGTGGAGGCATCAGAGGGCTATTCAGCAGGAAAGAGGTGGACAGGGGGAGAATTCAGAGCCCTTGCCGGCCTCCTTCCAATCCCCCACGTAAACCTGACCCACAGAAGCTTGTGTCGCTAGACTTTAAGGATAGAGAGATGGGAGAGAAGAGGAAGGATTGGCCCATCCAGCTCACTATGAGGCAGGTACAGTAAAGGGCCTGGTGCCCATAAGGCACCTAAGCCAACATTCCAGGCTTATTCATCAGTTTAGTTCCCCCAGGACATTTCTTGCCAGCCTGAGCCCAGTCCCCAACTGACCCTAAGGCTGGGTTTCAGCCCTGCACTTCACCTACTCAATGATCTTCCTAGTGGGTCTCCCCACCTCTTTGGGTCTCCAGTCATATCCTACCACACTGGGCTTGCTCAGTGCCATCCCCTGGGAGGACCCCACCATGCCAGCTCTGCCATCTGAGTCAGCTTATGCCACATCCGCCACCACCCACTGCCAGCTGCCTAGTGCCCTTTCAAGAGATGCTATGGGAAATTGAGGAAAGAAGGGGCCTCCAGGGATTGATAAGGTGGGGAGGAAGCAGGCCAGCCAGACCCTGGCTCTGCGAGGGAATTTAGAAGAACAGACCTGGTGGCCCAGGCCCCAAGCCAGATGGGCTGCAGGTCAGGTACGTTGGGAGGAAAGAGGATCTGGGCCGACCAGCTTGCCAGGGTACATGCAAGGAATAAGTCCCAGGACAGTGGAGGCACCAGTAAAATAGATAGTGGGGAGTTAGAGAAAGGTCCACTGCAGAGACCAGGAGCAAGAATACCTGGCCTGGCAGAGTAGCTAAGCTAGATATCTCTGGAGTAGGCAAACATGAAGCCATTTGGCAGAGGTGCCACCATCCTACCCTCTGGCCATAACCCGAGACATCTGCCAGTCACCCCAGGTGGCATGTTATTCTTTTCCACTTCTCCACCCTCCTGGGATCTGGGGCCTGCAACTGAGCCAGGGAGTTGGTAGGCAGAGTTGAGGCTGCCCTGGTGCTAGGGAACATTGTGTTCCAGAGGCCTCTGGTACCTTGCAGAGATGGCTGTTGGCACTGAGACCTTGGGAGTACTGTACCAGGAAAGGGCATAGGCTGGAGAGTGGGGAGACTTGAAATCTCAGCATACAACAATCATTATGGAAGTAATGGCTTTGGGAGGGGCATGTGATCAATGTCTTCACATATTGGAAGGGCTGATGTGTCTAAGAGGGAGTAGCCCTTGCTGGAGCCAAGGGAGGGATGAGGGCTCATAGTTCAAAGTTACAGGGAGGCAGGTTTCAGCTCTATATAGGGAAGCACTTTCCACTGATTATAGCTGCCCAAAGATGAAATGACTGTCCCAAGACAGCGTGTGCTTCCTATTGCAAGAGGTGAAAGGTGACCAACACCTGTTCAAAGGGGAGGTGCCAGAGCATTGCAGCATGATGGGGTGGAGACTGCTATAGATGGCCAGTCCTTCAGGTCCCTTCTAACCCTAAATTCCTCGATGGAGCTGGTGGACAAGCCACCAGCTGAAGGCAGAAGTGGGGGCCAAAGAAGAGCCCCAAGCAGCGGGATGTTTCTGGTCATTTAGATTCAGCAGCTAGAGATACTGATTCAGGTTCTAACTCTAGTAGTCATCAGCTTAGGACTCATGGGTAAGTGATTTAACCCCTGGGAGCCTCAGTTCTTTACCTGAAAACTGGGACAATAATGGTCACAGCCTCAGAAGGTAGCATCAGGATTAATGGAATGCCATATAGAAAGTGCTAGTTCAATTCCAGTGCTCTGAGAATGACTGCTTCTCATAGATGCAAGTTTCTAAGTTATTCATTCATTTGGACCCAGATAGAGGCTTGTATTGCCCAGACTCTCTCTCTCTCTCTCTCTTTTGGTTGTAACTCAGGGTTTCGCACTTGCAAAGCAGGCACTCTACTGCTTGAGCCATACCTCCAATCTATTTGGCTGTGATTATTTTGGAAATGGGGGTCTTGCAACCTATTTGTCAGGACTGACCTCAAACCACGATCCTTCCAATCTCAGCCTCCCAAGTAGCTAGGATTACAGGTATGAGAGAGTATCTAGTGGCCTCCCTCTTGGACGTGGGGAAGCAGGTTCAGAGAAAGGAAGTAAAGTGATTTGTGTGCAAGCAGCACGTCTCCCTAGTTATGCTTCCCATGTGCTCTATGTCTGAGATCCCTGGGCAGAGTAGTGTGGGGGTTCAGTTGCCTTTTGGGGCCCACAGAAGCCCCCAGAGTCCCATTCAGCTCTGGATGGCCACAGCCTGACCTGGGCTGATATTTGTAGTCTAGTTAATTGTCTCTCTGGCATGCCAGCTCTATTCCAGTGCCCAGGCATCTGGGGCCCAGGGCCTTGCTTCTCATAGATGCACAAAGAACCTACAATGCTCTCCAGGAAGCTGGAGCAATTCAGTGTGCCAGACACCCCAGGGCTCTCACTTCCCAGCTGGCACACCAGGGCCTGCCTTGTGCCCAAACATCCCCTCTGCTTCCCCTCCATCTTGCTGCCTTCTGGCCTCCCAGCAGCTGGAGGGGCCACTACTTCCATCCCCTTGGCACATGTGCCAGGCAGGCAGCCACAGCACATAGCACATAGGCTGCCTGGTATGCCAGCCAGGAGCCCTGGCCAAGACTCCCTTACCTGGAGCCGGGCCTACAGCCCCCCTTTGCTATCACTGGTAGAAAGGAGTGGACAGGGAGGGAAGAAAGGTCCCCACACCTTGCTGTGGGCAGACTCCATAAGGGTGTGTTTGGGTGAACAGCGGAAAGAACTCCAGCTTCTCTGAGTTCTGACCCTGAGCTCCAGAACATGGACTCCATCTAGGGTTCCAGCCACTTGCTCATTATGTATTCAACAGAGGCACACTGACTGAGCACCTACTGTGTGCTGAAGCCCTGTGGGGAGAATTGTGGTGACCATGGCTGCCCCCAAGAGGCTCACCGTCTCCATAGAGAATGAAAAGTAGATAGCAAGAGGAACCTGATTGAGCTGTAATGCAGGTTGGTTCTGGCACAGGTGCAGAGGAGGAAGTGGTTCCACTAATGGACTTCCTGCAGAAGAGCCAGAGGGGCAGGGGCCCCTGGGAGGGTATCGGGTGGATAAAGAGGGTAGTAGCCAGACACAGGGGTCACACACCTATAATCCTAGCTACTTGGGAGGCAGAGATAAGGAGGATCACGATTCGAGGCCAGACTGAGCAAAAAGTAAGACCGTATCTCAAAAATACCCAGCGTAAAAAAAGAGCTGATGGAGCATCTTAAGTGCTAGAGTGCCTGTCTAACAAGCATGAGGCCCTGAGTTCAAACCCCAGTGCTGCCAAAAAGAGAGAGAGTAGTAGTAGTAGTAGTTGTAGTAGTAGTAATTAGATAAGGCTGGGAAGAGGTCAAGTTCTGGGGCCTAAAATCATGGATGAGTTCAGGAACCCTCTAATCTGGGCTGCAGTGGAAGGCATGGGTAGGAAAGGACAGGTTTGACCAAATTGCAAGGAAAATCTCGAGGCTTGTGGCAAGGGCCTTTGACTGTGTTCTGAGGAACCATGAAAGGTTTTTGAAAGGGTTGAGGAGCACCTCCTTGACAGCCATGTGGAGCATAGTGGAACCGGTAAGGGTTGGAAGCCAAAAGCAGGGCAGGGGTCCATGACCCTGAACTGGACTGGGGAAATTGGGTCTATACTAAGACAGGACTGTGGGGGTTATGAGGTGGCTGCAGGGGATGGGCTAGAGAGATATTTGGAGGGTCACCTGAGGTTCTAGATGAACACTTCTCTCCCTCTCAGCCTGCTGGAGAACACAGGTGGAAAATTGAGGCCCATGAATGCTTGGCCCCCAAAGAGGTTTTGTTTTTGTTTTCTAACTTGAGTAAAAGGTACACCCATATGATGAAATGCTGTGTAGCCATAAAAAAGAATGATGGAACTCTTTATGCATTCGTACAGAATGATTTCCAAGATTTACTACTAAATGAAAAAATTAAGGTGTAGGAAAAATAGTATAATACCTTCTCTGCAAAGAAAAAAGAAAGACTCCTAAAATTGTTTCTATCCAATTTCACATAAAATCTAGTTTTGTTTTGTTTCTTTGTTTGTTTTGGTGGTACTGGGATTTGAACGCAAGCCATTGTGCTTGCCAGGCGAGCATTGTGTTTTTGAGACAGGGTTTTGCTATGCAGCCCACGCTGTCCTTGAACTCTTGTTCCTCCTGCCTCAGCCTCCTGAGTGCTGGGATTATAGGTGTGAACCACCACACCCAGTTAAAAGTCTGGATTTCTTTTGAAAAGTGGAAAACTTGACTACGTTGGACTAGCCTTATAGAGAACTTCCACTGGCTACAGGAGACCAGCAGCAATTGTGCACTTGCCCAGTCAGAACTTCCTTAAGTTTTTGTTTGCTTATTTGTTTTCGGCAGCACTGGGGCTTGTGCTTGTTACTCAGCCACTCTACCAGCCCTGTCAGATTCCTGCAGGCTCTGGGAGGCTGGAACATGGGAGCCTTTCTCAGTGCTTCTCCTTATCCCCCACATCCTCTAGGAGGGTGCCACAGGAGACACCCTGTGGGAAGCTGACTGCAGACCAGCCTCCTCTAGCCTCCCACTCTGCTCCTCTTCTTCTCTCAGCTCCAGAGATTCAAGCGCTCGCTCTCCCTCAAGACCATCCTCCGAAGTAAGAGTGTGGAGAACTTCCTCCTTCGCTCGGGCTCTGAGCTCAAGTGCCCGACCGAGGTGCTGCTGACGCCCCCAACCCCTCTGCCCCCTCCCTCTCCACCACCCATGTCCACAGACAGGGGCCTGCCCACCCCAACCCCCTCCCCGTGCCCAGTCCCACGCCCCCTGGCACCGATCAAACCAGTGAGACTGCACAGCTTCCAGGAACATGTCTTCAAGCGAGCCAGCCCTTGCGAGTTGTGCCATCAGCTCATTGTTGGTAGGCACCTGAGCCCTGTGGGCAAGGGGAGGCCTGTGGACAAGGGAAGCAGGCCACGGAATTGCCTGATATTGGGCTCCTGCTACACGGAGCCCCAGCAGTAACTGTTAACTGTGCCTCCTTATGAGCATCGTGGGCGCTGGGGTGTAGCTCAGTGGTACAGCACTTGCCTAGCATGTATGAGACCCTCGGTTCCATCCCCAGTACCACAAGATACATAAATAAATAGAGTGTCACCAGAGGGTGACTGTGTACCTAATGTTGCACTGTGTTCACTACACCTTGGCTTTGCTGCCACTTCATATCCTGACTGTAACAAGGCAGTTGCCAGGCTCCGAGGCTGCTCTCTCCCGGAGCCCTCTCTGGCCTTCTTTGTTCTTGTGAGTGGGGGTGCCATCTCTTCTCAAATCCCTTTGTTGAACCCAAATCCTTTTTAGGGAACTCCAAGCAGGGCTTGCGATGTAAGACCTGCAAAGCGGGTGTCCACCTCTGGTGCTCCGAGGAGATCTCCCACCAGCAATGCCCGGGAAAGACAGTGAGTGGGGGACTGTCAGGGGGAATGAGTGAATGGATCCCTCAAGCTGGTTCCTCCTGTGGAGTGGTCCCTGGGCTTGGGAAGGACCAATCTCTCCATGGGCATGACCTCCCCTTGTCTTTTTTCTGTGTCCTCTTGCCACAGTCCACTTCCTTCCGCCGTAACTTCAGCTCTCCCCTCCTGGTGCATGAGTCATCACCAGCCTGTGCCATGAGCAGAGAGTCCCCACCTACTGGTGAGTGTCCCCCCCCCTCCTCGTGCTCACAGCAGTGTGGAGAAATTGTATTCCTCAGCTGGACAACTGTGTCACTCTGGCAATGCCTACTTGGTGCTCCTAGTGCTTCTCTTCTCTGGATGCCTTTGTTCTGAATGTAGGTCCCATTCATTCATGCATCCAACCACCCTCCCTTCAACCAGCACTTTTTTCAGTACCTACGAAGTGCCAGGCACTGTGCTAGACACTGGGACATAACACTGAGGGTGGACTTTAAGGTCTAATAAAGGAAATGGACAATTTCACAATTTTTCATCAATAACCGTTCAAATGAGTGCCTCAATAAAGAACAAAGAATAAAAGGCATTCTGTCTTCATCTGCAATCAGGGAAGGCTTCCTGGAGACATGAATGATGAGGATCTGGGGAAGACCTGTAGCCGAGGGAGGTCTGAGGCAGCAATGGGCAAAGAGGCAATAAAAGAAGGACAAAAACTGGGGCAGAGGGAATAGGAGGTATGCAAGGAAACAATGGGTACCAGGCCTTGGGATCCATTTTAGGAGAGCGTTTTGGACTTCTAAGAGAAATCTTGTGTTTTTATGACAGCCCCTGGCTACTGTGTGGATTGGCGAGGCTGGGGTGAGATAAGAAATTGAATTGGGAAGCTAGGACGGTTGTCAAGAGAGTTTGGTAGGATTAGGGTTGTAGCCCAAGTGATAGAATGCCTGCTTGGTAGCAAGCGCCAGGCCCAGAGTTCAATCCCCAGTACCGCCAAAAAAAAAAGTTTAACTTGGCTAGTCTGGAGGCAGTGCAGATGGAGAGACAGCAGATTCTAGGGATGCTGGGGGTAGGACAAGGGCTTGCAGTAGCTCTGGGGAGTGAGGGCAGTGAGGGCAGCGAGGAGTTAGGAGGCTCCAGCTCTCTGCGTGGGCACCTTGGAAAGACACAGGATTCCATTGGGTTGAGGAAGACATAGGAGAGGCAGGTGAGGGGGGGATGCTGAGCCAGGTGACCTGACCAGGAAGCCAAGGATGGGAGTGCAGGGCTTCAGGATGGACTCAGGCTGGCAGCTCGTGCCAGGCCTTGAGGGTGGATGCTCAGCAGGGACCAGTGGGAAGGTGGACCCAGTCTATGAGACCCTGCGCTATGGCACTTCTCTGGCACTGATGAACCGCTCCAGCTTCAGCAGCGCATCTGAGTCTCCCACGCGGAGCCTGGTATGGTGGCCACAGAAGGAAAGCCTCAGGGGAGGGGGGTCCCTGAGCCTGACATTGAGCTCAGGGCTGAGCCTGTCCCTCTCCCTGTTGCCAGAGTGAGCGGGATGAGCTGACTGAGGATGGGGAAGGCAGCATCCGCAGCTCAGAGGAGGGGCCCAGTGACAGTGGTGAGTGGGAGTGGTGGAAAGGACCAAGTAGCAGGAAGGGTTATGGGGGAGCTGCTCCCCATTGCCTCACAGCCTGGCCCCATCCTGGTGTCTCCAGTATTCACAGCCCCAGCTGAGAGCGAAGGGTCAGGACCAGAGGAGAGGAGCCCTGGACAGCAGGTAAGCCCGAGGTGGCGTGGAGCCCCAGATGTGGGGGCAAAAGGGGCTATCACTTCTCCTTATCACTGGTCCATAGGTCAGTGAGAGCATGGTGAAGGGGGAACCCCCCTGCTCTAGGGACAGGTAAATGTCAAGGTGAGAGGCACAAGAGATGCTGGAACCTTCCCACTTTACTGATCCACTGCCTGTTGCTCCCACTCCTGCTCCCCTAAGTGCAGGCAATTTCAGGGCACAGCAGGCAGAGGGTGTCCCCCCTCTCCAAGTTAGCCCAATCCCCAGGGTGGGCGAGCATAGCCAGTAGGAGGCTCTTTTTCTTTTTTTCTCGGTACTGGGGATTGAACCCAAGGCCTTATGTATGCTTGGCATGCACACTACCTCTTTACACATGCCCCAGTTTGTTTTGTTTCTTTGAGACGAGGTCTTGCTATTTAGCCCAGGCTGGCCTCAAACTCGAGATCCTCTTGTCTCAGCCTCCTGGGTTATGGAATTACAGGCATGTACCACCATGCCCAGCTTTTTGCTTACTTTTTGGGACCCACCACATCCCACCTCATGGTGCCCCTGGGCAGGCATCCTCAGTGCAAGTAGACAGTGAGGGGAGCAAATGTGTTACCCACCATCACTGACCTAGAGCTTCTCCCACAGCCCCCCAGGTTATCCTTGCGGAAGGATGTGGGGCCCATGTACTCCTATGTTGCACTCTACAAGTTTCTGCCCCAGGAGAACAACGACCTGGCTCTGCAGTAAGTCCTCCCTGTGGTCTGGTCCCACTGGACAGTTGTTGGGCTCCAACCTCAGGGCTCTGCCCCCTCCCCCCTGCTGACCTTGGAACAGGAGGGTGAGGGGGACTTTCAGGGACCTTCTCCTGACACATTTGAAGCTGCTGGGCCCAAACAGAGCCTGAGTTGCCCATGGTCTAAAAGTGATCGGTGCATTCTATCACCTGCCCCTCTTTCTGGGCTGTTCTGGAGACAGCCTGCTGCTGTACTATGGCCACAGTGTCCTCCAGGAGCAACGGGAGGCCTCTCCTAGCTGAGAGGGGCATGCAGGGTGCCTTGATGTCCACATGCTGCCCCAGCTCCCTCCTTTGCAGACCTGGAGACCGGATCATGCTGGTGGATGACTCTAACGAAGACTGGTGGAAGGTGATTTTGCAGGGCAGGGCATGGAGGCACTCTGGTTAGGCACTGCCCCCAGTTTCTCTCCAGGCCCCAAAAACCTCCCTTCTTCCAACCACCACCCCTGGCAAAGCCAAGGACCAACCCTTGGGCTTTGCTGTCAGTTTGATCTTCCCTGCCTTAGCTTTGTCGCCTTCCCACCTCATGCCCTTCCTGGCCCAGAAGCCACAGACTAGGGGCTGGAATCATGTCAGCCAGGATCTGAGGATGTTGGCACTGGCTCTGGATGGAAACTGGGTCTAGAGAAAGGAGTGGGGGTGAGGGGTGGGGGGCTCACTGCCAACCTCATCCCCAGGGCAAGATCGGCGACCGGGTTGGCTTCTTCCCAGCCAATTTTGTGCAGCGGGTGAGGCCAGGCGAGAACGTTTGGCGCTGCTGCCAGCCCTTCTCCGGGAACAAGGAACAGGGTTACATGAGCCTCAAGGAGAACCAGGTGGGTCTCTGGGCCCTAACTTAGGCCCTGCTGAGAGCACGAGAAAGGGGTGCCAGGGTGGGGGCAAATGCCCTGGGGAAGGATCTTGTAGACTGGCACAAGAGGGAAAGCAGATTAGAAGAAGGGCCATAGGGACCTCCCAGCATCCCTATAGAGAATTTGGCATGATGGCTGACAGAGACAGGGGGCTGAATGACATTGGAGGCATTTGGAGTAGGGCAGGAGCGCTGGGCTAGGAGTCCAGAGGCTTGGGTTTAAATGCTGACTCTGCCTCTGGTTTGCTTTGTCACCTTGTGTGGGTCCTTTTCCCTCTGTTACCTCCTCTGTGAAATGGGGGTGGGGCAAGGCATTGGACCAACTAGTGTCCAGGGTCAGCCCTGAAGCTGGTGTCTGCTGGGTCCTGGTCCTGCTGCTAAGCACTGCACCCTCATGGCATCTGCTGCCATCAACCCGGAGAAGGACTCCATTCACATCTCACACTGGGTCCGACATCCCTGGAGGCCAGCAGCAGCACTTGGGCCAGTGCTTCAGACCATGTCAGGCCTCAGCTCTGTGTGTCTCCCACCTAGATCTGTGTGGGTGTGGGCAGAAGCAAGGATGCTGATGGCTTCATCCGCGTCAGCAGTGGCAAGAAGCGGGGTTTGGTGCCAGCCAACGCCCTGACTGAGGTCTGATGAGAGCCAAGAGAACCCAGCTGCCACCCTGGCCCATGCCTGGCCCTTGCTTCTGGACCAGGCTGGGGGAAAAGGCACCCTGGCAACACCCTTCTTCTCCTTGCCTCTCTCCTTGGTGCCACGAACAGTGGCTTAGGAGCCTTCAGCACTGAGGGAGGTTTATTTCTTGGGTGGGATGCCCTGACTGGGTTGATCTTCTGGGACTTGGGAGGGGAAAGGAGAAAGTGGGAAGGAATGAGGAAGCTGCAGGTAGGTCCACCCAGTATCCAGGTACCCCTAATCTGGTTGCTGCGCTGAGTCCCACCCTGGGGAGGGTCTCTGGGGAGTCCCCTGCTGTATCGTCCAGAGACTCTTCACCTGCCCATTTGACTTTGCATGCCTGACCTGCCTCTGCCCACAGAGCCTGTGCTTGGGTCTATGTGCGTCTGCCCCTTTGCTAGTGGGGCCTTGGAAGGGGGCCTTTCTGTGTCTCTCAGCCCTCCACCCTGGCTTGGGAGGGGACCCAGGGCTACAAGAGGGCCCTGAGTCCACCTCTTGGTCTCACCACCTCTGTCAACCCGTCAATTCTCAGGAAAGTTCTGCAAGAATCTCCTATTACTTGAAACTTGGGCCGACAAAGCAGGGAAAGGCTGAGAAGGGTGTGACAAATATGAGACTGTCCCTTCAATAAGGATAATCACCACAGAGCAGTCTCACCCTACCTTTGTCTACTGGAAAAGAGCAACCTGGACACAAAAACACAACTGAGAAGACTGGCCCATGCTTGGTCAAAGCAACCCCATTTCACTGTCAGGACTCCAAAAGTGCCCCCACCCCCACCCCACTCACCCTCCCTGCACTCTCCAAGAACAACCAGCCAAGGGAGCCTGGGATTGTCAGTTTAGGTCTCTCCAGGAGTCCCACCCTCAGGGCTGACCTTCGTACCCCCTCTCACTGGGATCTCCAGGGCACAGAGTTGTTGATGTTTTGGGGGTCCCTTTTTTCTTTTTTTTTTTTTTTGCTGTGTCTGCTCCCTTGTCCTGGACACAGAGCTCTGGGAGAAGGAAGGCATGGGAAGCAGACAAGGTAGGTGAAATGGTCTGCTCAGCCACGGCCACGCCACCGTTATATAGGGGTAGTAGGAACCCCTGGGAGGGGGCAATACAAAGAGGACCTCTCCCTTGCTGGCTGCAGCCCCACTGCCTCCAAGCTCAGAGTCTCCTTTTGTGTCCTTTGTTATACCAGCCAGTGCCACCCCCATATTGGGCATAGTCACACCCTCCATACAGTGAGAGGGACACAGACTCTCCTACCCAAAAGACCCTGCCCCTCTTTCTCCCCAGCAAAGGTGGGGAGGGGCTCAAGCCACACTGCCCTGTTTGCTGCCATGAGGCCCACCCCCAGCAAACTCCGGGGAAGGCCGGATGCCCACTGTACTTGAGGCTGCATGATGGGTCTGTTGGGGCACTGCTGAGCCCCAGACCCCTAATTAAATGTTTCTGTCTCACCTGTCTGCTCCGTGTATCTGACTGAGATAGAGGAAGGACATGAGCAGGAAGTTGAGATCGTGGACCTCTGAGAGGACAGCAAGGGGCTGGCACTAACATGGCACAGCACATGCCTCCTCACACTCTTCCACGGAGGTAGCCCGAGGAGGGCGGGATCTGGGACTGCCAACAGCTGGGAAAGATGCAGAAAGGGCCTGAGGAAAGGGGCAAATGGAGGTTTGGGGACGCTGGAAGGAGGGGTGGGGAGGCGGTCACTTTCCAGTTCGATGGGCACTTCAATCGCGCAGGGGGCGGCCCCCCATCTCCGGGGCATCAGGACTGAGCTTGCTACCCGGAGGTGACCTTTCCCCCGAGACCTGCCCTTCCCAGCCCCGGACAGCGCGGTACCCACTGGAGATCAGCGTCGCCCCGCGATCCCCAAGCCCGAGACCAAGACGCTGACAGCCGGGACAGTTGCGGACATTGAGACCCTGAGATGACTCAGTCCCGCCTGTCATTGGGAACCCATCATCGCGAGCCTGGCATGGGGGGCCTGGCGTTGGCCCCTCCCGGAGCAGCCGGCCTGCCGCCCACCTGCTCCGGCAGAGCACCCTCCTTCCAGCGCCTGCCTAGCCGCGTCACCGCCGTGGCGAGCACGTCCAGTGCTATTTATAGTCTGAGGGCAGAGTGAACAAGCACTAGGCGGGCTGCAGGGGTGCCAGGGCAGCGCGGGCGCTGCCAGGCTGCAGAGGGTAGAGGCCTGTTCCTCCTGACAGGTACTCCCTTCCCTCCTGCACCCTGGTCTGTGTCCCAACCCAAGCTAGGTAGGCCAGGTGGGGCCAGACCGTGGGTCCCCCCTCCTTGAGCTTTCTCTGGGCCCCTTCACCTGAGGAAGGCCATAGAGGTAAGGTGGAGGAGTGAGAAAGACCACAGTCTTCTCCTTTCCTAAGATCCCTGGCCATGGAAGTGGAAAAAGGGGTCACCCACCCAGTTGGAAGGGTTATAGAAAGGGAAGGCACATAAATAGATACCTGCTGTGCCCAGGGGAGCATGCCAGGAACTTCATGCTCTTCCATCCACTCAATAACTCAGCAGGGAAAGCGATACTGAACCCTTTTCATAGATGAGAACACTGAGGCATAGAGAGGTAAGTGCTTTATCAAAGATCATAGAGTCTACATAGCCCAACCCTGCCCTTTTCAAACAAACTGAGATCCAGAGCTGGCCAATGAATAGTCCGTGGTCACAGGGTAAATCAGTGGTCACGACAGTCCAATATAGATCTTTCCCTGCCCTGCCCTGAGTCCCTCAGTGTCTTAAGCCACCATGATGGAGAGAGACAGCATGAGATGCTGGGACAAGGGCTCCAGGGATTGAGAATTCCACCTCACTGAAGACAGTGAGAACCTTGTAGCCAAGTCTTCTGCACCCCCAGTGTTCTATCAGCCAGCAGCTGGCCTAGACCCTCCTCCTCCCCAGCCTGTTTGCTGCACTGCTGAGCACAGCAGCTTTTTCGGGTGGCTGAGCCACTGACAGCATGTTCACAGCCTAGGGGCTGGGAACAGCTGGTGTCCCCATGGTAGCCTCTGCTGCCTCTGTGCCCACTCTTGTGGGTCTGGGCCCATGACACCATTAGCCTGGGGCAAGGATGCCCAGGAACACATTAGCAGGGCCATCCAACATTTGGCTCTGCTGTCTCTGACCTACACATGCCCTTCACCCCCACCTCAGCCTGAGCTTCAACTGGTATGCCCTGTGTCGGGGAAAGTTTACCTGGATTCAGGGGAGATGCAGAAAGGAGTCTGGGAGCCAGAGATGGGGAGGCCGAAAAGGGCAGAGGTAGATACTAGAGGTAGGGAAAGACAGACAGTGAGACTCCCCTCGGCCTGGATGTCTTCATTCCCAAGCCACCCAGGGCTTAGACCAACTGGGGGACCCACTGAAGAATGCAAAGAAGTAAACTGGGTGCCAATGGTTCACGCCTGTAATCCCAGCAACTCAGGAGGCAGAGATCAGGAGGATCGTGGTTTAGAAGCCAGCCCAGGCAAACAGTTCTCGAGACCCTATCTCAGAAAAACCCTTCACAAAAAAAGGGCTGGTGGAGTGGCTCAAGGTGTAGGCCCTGAGTTCAAATTCCAGTACCACAGAAAAAGAAAAAAAAAAAAAAAGAATGCAAAGAAGGCAGTCACACATGTCCAGCCTTGGCCTCCTGTGCTTTGTGGGAGCTGGCCTACCTTGTCCCTGTCTCGGCCTCAGAGAGTACCAGGAAGGAGGCCAAAGCCCCGTGTAGCCCTTATCCAGCTTGAAGTCCCACAGCAGCAGCTCTGCTCTGTGCTTCCACAGTACCAGCTCTGAGTCACACCCACCCATGGTGTGGACCCAGATTGGATTCAGGTGGTACTAGTATTTAGGCAACGCTGAGGTTCTGGGGAGTCATTGGTTCATTTGGGCCTCGGTTTCCTCATCTAGAAAATGAGGAGTTGGGCTTGCTCAGGGAGTCTTTCCTAGGGGAACCATGAACCCCCTGGAAAGGTGTACAAATTCTATGATGAGGACACACCTTTGGGAGGGGAATGGAATCCAGAGCCTTACATATGCTAAGCACATGCTCTCACCACTGAGCTGCACCCCCAGCCCAAGACATAGCTGTTAATTGGATTTTCACAGGGCTCTGGGACCTAGAAGAGATACTTATTTAGGGGTTCTTTCTGCTTGAGGCTCCCTAGAAATAGGAACCACCCCCTCACTGGGTACTGCCCTGCAAAGGGGTTAGAGGCCCATGGTGGAAAGAAGTACCCTCCAGGAGTAAAGTGCTGGCCACACAGCAGCAGGTGAGGTTTAGAAAAGTGACATGGGGCTAGGTTAGGTGGGAAAGCTCAGTGGTAGAGCTGTTTGTCTAGCATGTGTGAAAACAGAAAAGTGACAAAGCTTAAGGCTTCCCAAGAGGTAGACTCCTCAACCCAACCAGCCCCTTCTTTCTTCCACTTTCTGAAAAAGCCTCAATCCCAGTACCATCAAAACAGAAACACCATCCAGCCAACTAACCCTGTGAGGCTGCAGCCTGTTCCCGTGGAGACTGCAAGAGAACAGCACCATCTCCTGGCTCAGGGAGGAACCAGCTCCTATGCTTCCTGCTCAGTCTGTGACCTGTGCTTAGGATACCTCATTCTCCTGTCATCCCTGTCTTTCTGCTGCAGAGGGGTAAGGTGGTCTCCAACACCATTCCCCTCCGATCCAATCCTGGGAAGGACACATCTCTGCATCAAGCTGGGAAGTTGGCCAAGGCTTTTCCAGAACCTTCTAGGCCTCACCAAGTTTTAGAACAAGAAGCACCCAAAGATAAATCAGAGACTGCTGAGTGGACAAGGGAGTACAGAAATAATCAGTGTTCCCTTCCCCACATGGACAATAGAGGGAGGAGTCCTCTGGATCTCCCATCCTCCTCAGAACTGGGGGCAGAGCTGAGGGGTCTGTTGGTTAAAATACCACTGCAGACCTGCCCCTTCCTCGTGGGTGCTGCTTTTCCCCATGCGCTTTGCATACCCCTTGAAGGGTGCTGCTACTGATTGTTCACCCTAAGACAAGGGTTCCTCAGGATCAGAGTGAGGGGCAGAGGTAACGGGAGAGGGCAATCAGTTTAAGGTATGCCCAGTACTAAGGAGGTGGCTCTCTTGGCCCAGCTTTCCTTTCCAATGTCTTACCCAGAGCTCACAGCTGACCCTTGTACTTAACTCCTGTTTGATCCCTTCTACTAGACATCTGTCCCTCACACTACCAAACCCTCACTAACCCAAAACTCTAGCTACTCTCCCCACCTCCACTGGTTGATTCTTCCACAGGATCACCTAAGGCTTGAAGACTCAAACTAAAGCAAGGTCTTGGGGATCAAGCTACACTGCCTCCACCTCATGTCTACCAAATTCCATTTTACCCTACTGCTACCTACATTCAGGCTGTGAAGCCCATGCCACCTCACCTATTTTCTCATCTGAGAAATGAAGATCGTGACTACTTCACGGTGTTGTAAAGATTAGAAAACCAGTAAAAATCAATGTAAAGTGGCTCACAGTACTTGGCTCACAGAACAGATTTTTTATTAAAAAATTGGCAGTTATTATTACCAGTTAAGTAGGAAAATAAAATCCACTTCCTGTTAAGAGCAGATACAAATTAATTAAACAGACACAAATTAAGCAAGTCAATGGGTATGACAAGGTTGGCATTCGTGTTGTCTGTATCCCAGTTCCTGCTGGGTGAGGAGTCTTTGTACTCCACGTGGCTCGTGTAAACCAAGATAAAAACCAGACAAGAACTCTTGGGCAGGAAGAAGAGTTTTAGAGTAGTGCTT